ATTATGAATGTTTACTTTTAGTACTTTCTAAAATGATGAAATGCAGGAATGAGTTATTGAAAATTGTTAAAGTTTATTTTTACTATTAATGCATTGGTTTAATATATTAATATTATGTATGAGGGAAAAACTATTATCAGTTAAAGAAAAAAATTTTCACTAAAAATTATTAATTCTTCGATAAAGAGTTTATATGGTAGGGTGTTACAACCATGAGCAAGGGCAATGATCCACTTGAAGGACTTGGAGGATCTATGACAAGGGCTAGAGTAAGGGAAACAAGGAAAACTCTTCAACAAATGTTGTCCATATTATTTGAATACAAGCCAACATTTCAAGGAAAAAAAACCAAAGTTGTGAATTGCATCATGACCCAAATAGAGGAGGACTAATGCGTCACTTTGTTTCAGTATTTAAGTTTGTTTAAATAATTATCCAATCCTTTGTAAAATTGGCTGACCAAATTATGTTTTGGGTTAATTAATTAATGGGTTTTAGTTTGATTTTGTTTCAAGTTGTAATAAGGGTCAAATTGAAAACTTAGGCATTAACCTTTGAGAGATCAAGAGGGTGCATAGCTGATTGACTTTTGGTTACCACAATTTTAGTTACAATCATCCATTAAGTAATTTTCAATTCATAGGTTAATGGATCACTATTAGCATTTATTTGCCTCAATTAAGTAGTTTTAAATTCCTAGGTTAATGGATCATTATTAACATTTATTTGCCTCCATTAAGTAGTTTCTAATTCCTAGATTAATGGATTATTATTAATATTTATTTTCCTTTATTGAATCTTTGTAACTTCGATGGCAAAACTTTTATATAAGTTGAACCATTTTTATTAAAAATACAAGTTGAGTTATATTAAAAAATATTATAGTTTAACTATTTTATCTTAGTGATAGTCATTTTCCTAAGTTCTTGAGTTATTCAAGAACCTTTGGTTGTATCAAAAGATTTTCACATCCTTTATGAGTTGTCTCTCTTGGGAAGAATGATTTTTTCCTTTGACCTTTCGCATTCACCTCTTCTTCTTTCTTCCCCAGGACCCAAAAAACTCAATTCTGCCCAACCCTGAAACTTTCACCACTTTTTAATCCACCTTCTTACTAATTTCCTAAATTTCCTACAAGGTTCTAACCTTAAAGATCCCAAGTCAGTCTTTGTGCAAATGAGGTTCATATAAGAAGATGTTACCTTTGAGTTGTCTTTTCAAATCAATATTTTTGAACCTTTTGTTGAAATTTGATGCAATATGATGAATACAATACATTGAGACAAAAGGCAAAATTGTGGGAGATATGACGATTTTCATAGGAAAATTGTGTGTTGTAACGATTTCATGTAGAAATCGACCATGCTGCCATGGTTTAAACTCAAGGCAAAATCGGGCCACATTGCACGATTTCACTGTATTTGCCTCCTTCCTCGTGGAATCCAACGTGAAGAGTAGCAGACACTGCTCAGAAATCTTTCAAGAGAGGTTGAGTATTCAATCGGCCATTCATTTGGGTTGTTGATTTTTTTCATCATAAGTAGTTTGCTCAACCTATAAGTACACCTTGCAAATAATCACTTTCACGTTCTTCATTTTTAGTATTCTCACTATTCTCATCTTCTACATATTTTCAGTCTTGTATTTAATGAAGTATATTGTTCTATTAATGCAGTCATTCATACACTCATACGATACGTTCCATTTTGCCGTTTTCCCAATTTTTCTTGATTTTGCTTGTTCTATAGCGGTTTTTCATTTGATTATTAATTATTCTTGGGCTATTTTTGCTGATTTTCATTATTCTATTGCTGATTTTAATCATTCTATTCTATTGCTGTTTTTCAATTTTTTTAATATTATTCATAATTTTGTTGACTGATATTAATAGTTATTAATGTTTATTTTTCTATTTTTCATTTCTTTTTATAATAATAATAATAATATTATTATTATTATTATTTATTTTTGCTGTTTTTATTTCTTTTATATTATTTGCTCATATTTTTCTTTTTCTTTTTCTTCTTCTTCTTCTTCTTCTTCTTCTTCTTCTTATTATTATTATTATTATTATTATTATTATTATTATTATTATTATTATTATTATTATTATTATTATTATTATTATTATTATTTGTCTTTCTGTTTTTAATTTCTTTCACATTATTGTTCATATTATTATTAATACTATTATTATTATTATTATTATTATTATTATTTTATTTGTTTCATATTATTGTTCATAGTATTATTATTAATACTAATATTATTATTATTATTTTGTTAATTTTGATTTTATTAATATTGTTAATATTATTAATATGTGTAATTTATAGAAATGACTTCTTCCAGTTGTCATCTTCCTACATATATGTCCTTATTGCGTCTTCAAGATAAACATGTAACAAAGACATTGTGGGAAGGAAATGAAAAATTATTACGTCCTAGGCGACATAACATGTGGATAATAAAACATACACACATTTTGGATGAACGGGTTAAAAATTTAATCCACCAGGCTGGATTTGGACAATTAATGACAATTGGAACTGTTAACATAAATCATTATTTGATCATAGTGTTAGTTGAAAGGTGAAGAACTGAAACTCACACCTTTCATTTTTTCCATCGGAGAGGCCATAATTACATTAGAAGATGTGACCTTACAATTAGGTTTATCCATTGATGGACTATCAGTTACAGGTCTCAGTAATAGAGATTTGACCGTCTTTTTTGAACAATTATTAGGTTCACACTGCAAGGTGTTGTTACAGAAAAAAATAATAAAATTGTCTTAGTTAAACACTTTGTTTCAACACATCCAGATGATGCAGACGATAACGTTGTCGCACAACATGCCAGGGCACAAATACTGACAATAGTAGGGAGTTTATTATTGCTAGATACTTCAACATCTAGAGTGTATTTAATATATCTCTTCTTATTGCAGAACCTAACTCTAGTTTCAAACTATAATTGGGGATCAACTTGTTTTGGCATGTTTGTATACAGTGTTGAATCATGACGTTGACTACCATCAGGAGAACATCGGAGGATGCATATTATTGCTCCAAGCTTGGACATGAGATCATATTGCATGCATCTGTCCTAAGGTAGAACATTTAACCGATGAGAAGATTGTTGCAGGGTAAGGTATTCAAATTTATTTTATATATTCCATTTCTTTCTTTCATATTACTTCATTTTATAATAATATATCTTTTGTATACAATAAGTGGTGACGACCAAGTCAAAGGTCCAACGTCATTACATATGTTGTACATGTATTACATCTAACATTTGATCAATTAAAAGCAAATGAGGTATTTCATTTAATACAATTTTCAATATGTTTTTCTTAAATGATAATAATTCTAATTTTACAAGTTCTATAAAATAATACAGATTTTGTAGATTTCTTATCGTCGTCTTGGGTTACAACGAATAATAAATGTTGACGTTTCTCCTTTGAGTCGTACTATAATTTCAATTATATGTTTTGCTACTTGTTGAGCCTCATCTAGCAAATCGGGTTATGAGACAATTTGGACTTCACTAACCAATTCCAAAAGACCTAATCAATTTTGACAAATTGCATAGAGAAGACATGAGAGGTAGATCTAATAGATTTTGGTCTCAATACCGTGAAACTTGGATTACTATGTGGAATGATCGTCACAATCGACTAATTCAAGGAAACGAGTTCAACGGGAATGACCACTTGCATGAAAATACAACATATATGATATGGTATTTTGAACATACTATCAAATATATTTCCTCTACCCAAGAAGAAGATTTAGATGAAGAAGTAAGTATATCAATAATTTTATTTTATATATAACATTCATATTAAACTAATATTGATTATATTTTTTAACAGTACGTTACAGAACAGAAATAACCCCAATATATTGACAAACCTAATCATGTCCATGTTAGTCAGTCGAGTTATCAACATGTTGGTCAGTCGAATGATCAGCAACCTTATCCATATTTTGGATATGTTGGTCAACTCTGAAATTTACCTGTGCAATTTCAATTTGGAGGACAAATTTCTCATATATTTACTTTGTTTTCATCTGAAACAAACATGTTTTCATCTCTTCCATGACACCACCATCAGCATGCAATCAAGCAGAGTCATAGGCGTGCTACAAAAGTACAACAAATGTCTATTCAAGACCAGTCACGTAAACCAAGATGACAAATAAGAAGACATCCTTATAGGATAAGATCTCACATTATTTTTTTTGTGATAATGTATATATGCATGTAATATTTTAATATAAATATAGTGAATTAAATTTAACCATATTTATCTAAATATTTTTATTTTTTATTAAATTAATAATTCAATTGAAAATAATTATTTAATAATATAATATATTTTAAAAAATAAACAAATAGTATTTTTCCAAAAAAATAAGAATGAGAATACAATTTTGGTTTAAGAATGAGAAACTCGTCCTATCAAACATATTTAAAAAAAAACTAAAATTGTGCTTGAAAATACAAATTTAATCAAAAGTGTATTCTCAATCATAATTTTGAGGGTGAAATAGTATTATGAACCACGATTTAACCCATTTTAAGAAAATTGACTAGGTATGATTAAAAAAAAAAGGCCTTTTATCTTTCACAATTCATACATTTTCAAATTATTTTGACAGTTCAATTTTATTAAAAAATATATAATTGCAGCTTCAATTATGAGTAATAAACTTTAAATTACTCGTGATCAAATTAATTTAATAGAGTTTATAGTTTGTTTTATTTTAACAATATTTTTTATTTTGTTTTAACAAAACAAAGTTTTAGGAGTAGTAAAAGTAACATAAAGAATAAGTTTACAAAACATTAAATTATTAATAATTTTAGTCTTTTTCTCTTTATATTAAGATTTTAAATTTGAGATGTGTAGAAGAAAAGGTTTAGTTAAGCGAAAGCGGAGCCATGAATAAAATAAGAGTAGGGATTGGATTGGTTTGAAAATTGAAATGAAGAAAGAAAAAGAAAAAATGGTGAATGCTGTAACTCACAGTCTGAGAGTGTGTGTGCCCGTGTTGAAGTTGAACCCCAGTTGCAGAGGGAGCAAGAGCAGTAGCAACAGCGTCTTTCTGAAACCCTTTGCCAAATTCCCATCCCTCACCACTCAAATTCGCCACGCCTCTTTTCACCGATTACCATCATTCGCCGACACAGTTTCAGACTCAAAGCACACAACCCTTCTGGTTGAGACTTACCATCTCCATGACAGCTTCAGAGCCTTCATTGCAAAGCTTCAGAGGGAGGATTCGAACCCACTCCACATACTCGCCCAAGACGGAGATTGGTCCAAAGACCATTTCTGGGCTGCCGTCAGGTTCCTTCAAAATTCCTCAAGGTTCGCCGAAATACTTCAGGTAGGGACCCTCATAGCAGTGTTTAATTTCGTCACAAATTTGATTACATTGCCTAGAAGGGTCTTAGTTGCTCTGGGGTAGAATTTGTCGTTGCTTCTTTTCCAAATAAGCCATCATTCATTGTAGAATATCAGCCTTTCTCTTCATTTTTTTTGAAGTAAAAGAAAAAACTGCATAAATAATCCCCAAGTATTAGAAACTATGCTAAGTAGTTTACCAAGAATTGGAAGACCCTTATTGGTCCCTGAACGGTAATAAAATATGTCAACTTAAGGACCCTTATTTGGTACTTCGGGGATTACTTAGGAGAGAGTAATACTTTGGTACCCAATTTAGGTTTTATTCGATTCGATTCTGTTTTTTATGACACTTGTTTTAGTACTATTTCTTCCTTTGTGGATTTTGAGTCCTTACTTTCTTAGCACGTTGCATTAATTAGGTGTTTAATATGTGGAAGAACATTGAGAAGTCGCGGATTAGTGAGTTTAACTATAACAAGATCATAGGCTTGTTATGTGAAGATGGAATTATGGAAGATGCGTTATCTGCATTGCAAGAGATGAAAGTTCAAGGAATCAAGCCTTCTTTGGACACCTACAATCCAATAATTCACGGATTATCCGGAGCTGGTAAGTTCAGTGATGCTTTACGGTTTTTAGATGAGATGAAAAAATCTGGCTTAGAGCCAGATTCTGAAACCTATGATGGTTTGATTGGAGCCTATGGGAAATTTCAAATGTATGATGAGATGGGTGAATGTGTGAAAAAGATGGAGTTGGATGGATGTTCTCTTGATCATATAACTTATAATATACTTATCCAAGAGTATGCTCGTGGTGGGCTACTCCAGAGAATGGAAAAGCTATATCAAAGAATGCTTTCAAAAAGAATGCATTTGCAATATTCTACTTTTGTTGCAATGCTAAAGGCTTATACCACATTTGGTATTGTTGAAAAGATGGAAAAGTTTTACGGAAAAGTCTTGAACTCAAAAACATGTCTAGAGGATGATTTCATTAGAAAAATGGCTGAAGTTTATATTAAGAACTACATGTTTTCTAGATTAGAGGACCTGGCACTAGATTTATGTTCAGCATTTGGTGAGAGTGACCTTGTCTGGTGTCTCCGTCTTCTTTCTTATGCATGTCTTTTGAGTAAAAAAGGTATGCATATAGTTGTTCAAGAAATGCAAGATGCAAAGGTTAATTGGAATGTTTCTGTTGCAAATATCATCATGTTGTCTTATATGAAGATGAAAGATTTCAGGCATTTGAGAATTTTACTGTCTCAATTGCCAATCTATCGGGTGCGGCCTGATATTGTTACTATTGGAATTCTATTGGATGCCAATAGAATTGGTTTTGATGGTAGAGGAGCTTTAGAATCATGGAGAAGAATTGGCTATCTGGACAGAGTAGTAGAATTGAAAACAGATTCTCTGGTCTTTACTGCATTTGGTAAAGGTCATTTTCTTAAAAGCTGTGAAGAAGTGTACTCGTCCCTTCACCCTGATGACAGAGAAAGGAAAAAATGGAGTTACAATGATCTCATTGCTTTATTAAAAAAAAAAAAAAAAACATAACTCTGGTAGCATGACTATATGATACAAAGATAGTTATCCGATCTTTGCTTTTATGAAAGTAAAAAACAGAATGTACAAAAATTGTGACGTCTCATTTGACTTGTTAAATTGGGATGTTGAAAAAAAAAAAAAAAAGATTAAGATGCTACTTCTGTTTCTTTTAATTTAATTTACATGCACTTGCACTATCAATATAAAATGTTTTTACATAAAAAAATTAACAAGGTTTGACAACTTCACATTATTTTATTCATTAATATGATATGGTGACAGGTAAATTTCTATTCAATATATCTATGTAAAAATATTTTATATTGACTGCATATAAAGTTAAACTCTGTTGAAATAGTGATATCTTTTACAATCGGGGTTGGAATTCATGGCTTACACAGATGCGTCATTCACTATAAATTTGGTGAGTAATTCTTAGATTAGTAAGAGTATTACCATTTAGCTGCCTACAGTATAATTATCCTTTATTAGAGAATTGTTTGGAGTTATTTCAAACAATTTTCCCATATATATATATTGGAAGGAGAGTTTATTTGAAGAAGACAATAAGGAATTATAGATTTTCTTATCATTGAAGAAAATTTTGATAAGATTTGATAATAAAGATTCCACAAAATATAGTTTTCTATCACGAAACTCATAATATTTTGTGACATTGAAGTTGTCCTTAGAAAAGCTTTTAAGAATAAAAAAATTACGTACAAAATAGCTTAAAACAATTTAAAGTTACTTAAATTTCACCTTTTTTAAGCTATTAAAGGTAACACTTACATCAAAATAATTTTTTTTATTCTTAAAAACGTTTTTAATTAATTCCTAATAAGATACTCTAAAAATGTCTTAATCACATGGATTGTAGGAATGCGCACGGAATGCAGGTATGTATTCCTACTTCATGCTTTTTCTTCATGTTTTGTTGTGCACTTTTTGGTCAAGCAAATACAGATATGATTCCCAATATGATGATAGGTTGACATTTAGTTTTATCTTGGATTGAGGGGTAAATTAGAAGAAGAGAAAGAGGGCGAAAAAGTAAGATTATTTAGGAGAAAGAGAGCGTACAATAAAGGTAAATAAATAGAAAACTTGTAATTAATAAGATTAATTAAAAAATAAGTTAATGAATGATTAAAATATTCTAATATAAAATTTAATAAAAATATATAAATTAAAACTAACATATAATTTAACATGCTATTTATTTAATCAGTTATGTAACTTTGTGAACATGAGATTGGAGGTGTTATTTCTTTTATAAGACTCATTAAACATTTTACCTTTTTTTTTTTTACAGATCAGCTTGTACAAACCGTTTATAATCGACTATTGGCATTCACGATTCTTTTATAGGACTAACTACAGAAATAAACAAGTGCTTAGACTTTTTTATTACACGTTTGCCGAGCCTAGTTATATATTGTTTGGATTCACTTATATAATCCAGAATCATATGAATATAGTTAACATGATTTTAATGAAACATTCATATGTTTGGTTTCATATTAAATAATTGATTGAGTTTAGAATTAATATTGAGTAATTTTTGAATTGATAAAAATTATAGTGAGATTTATTACTAACTTGTTTCAGAATTAAAATATCTAAATATAATTTAGCATGTTTCGAAATCAATTTTATTTAAAATTAATTTTTCTTTTAGTTCGTTCACGAATTCCTGACATATTTGTCATTTTGTTAGTTGCTAAATTAAAGTGTCGGATGGATTAGATGAGATACCAGAGCTACCTGCAACCACGATCAACTGCAGACAAGGTATTGTAAAACATCTCTATTTCTTCCAAGAGCTTCTTACTCCTCGTATGAAATCCCCCTGAAACCGTATCTAAGTACCTGTCTGATGTCATTAAATCAATGAGAAACTCACAAACGTCTCCCATATCATACGATGCGGTAAGGAACTTCTTTGTCGTCTCATTTGGGAGACCCTCTTCACCATTGTTAGTGTACATACGCTTTCTGCATTCCTGTAAATATCATGAGTGGCATAACTACGTGATATAGATAATTTAAATAACCTTAGTTTTTTCACATTCTAACTTCCTACCTCTCTTCTCTTACCTACTAATCCAAGGACTGTAAAAAAAATTATTTTTCCATATTATTCTTTTGCTGAATCACCATTTTGTCAGTACCAACGGACCTTATTAAATAGATGCGCATGGAAGAACCTTTGTATGTGCTTTACAAATAGAAAGAAAAAAATGGTACATTTGGTGCAAACACGGATAAAATAATCAAGGAAGCCTATTAGAAGATACGGAATGAGTTACCTGGAGCATTTGATTTATAGTTGCAATTTGCTCTGTACTTAGGAAGTTAGATTTCAGTAGTTCTCGAAATAAAACCAGAATCTCCGAAGTCAAGTTACTTGCAGTAAGGTTACCCAGTATGCCGGATATACTTGAATTATCAAACACAGATCTCATCCACTGAGGGATTTTACTCAGTTTCAGCACAGCTATAGCTATAAGTACTTGAGGACTTTGATTGTTCATGAATTGTGATGCTAAAGCAGGAGCTGCCAAAGATACTGTCATCTCCTCAATAATCAATCTACACCAGCTACTCTCTTCTAAGAGGTTTGTTTCGTTTGTCAACTTTTCCCAACCCAGAATTATTGACAGGCAGAGGGAACAATTTGTAGCCACTCTCAGATCATTATAGAAAACCAGCCCTTCCAATATACTCCTTATAGACATTAAGTATCCAATAGTGCATCTCAACTCTTCAGGACTACTTTTTATGTGATCTGATATTCTGTTAAATAACTCTAACAGGTTATAAGAAGCAGCAATCTTGATTACAGGAGAACCAAAATGGAGAAGTCTGCACAAGTCTTGGCAACGGATGCCAATGAAGGCTAGTGGCTCAGATGGTTTCATTGAAACAAGGAAACTTTGCCAATCTACAAAGCCTGGCATGATAGAATGCAAGCTACAAACAAAAATTTAGGATTTACATGTCAATTTTTGAAAATATTTAGGAAAGAGCATTAAAAGGGGTGTAAAATATTCTGACGTTAATATGCTACAATTAATTTGCCAGAAAATGAAGTGAGTAAAATATACTTTTAGTTTCCTTTTATTACTCATGCGAACAGGCTTTTACCTTTTAATGGCGAAGTAATGAAGCAAAAGCACAAATACTAAAGTTTCTCCGGTCCTTGTTCCCTCGTCGTGGTCTACCAAAGCAGGTCCCTTCGAAGAGGCAGTACAGACTACAGTGTTGACCATTGAGATCATAGAAGTATTAAAAAGAATGGCCTTCGAAGTCTCTTCAAGTGTTTTGTTGGTGGAAAGATGCAAAATTAAGGAGAGAATGCCAATAATAAAGAGACTTTCGTCACTTAAGATATCAACCTTTTCGGATGGAATTGAATACTCCATCATCTGAAGAAGTGGTAACGTGGCGTGAGAAAATCATTAACTAAATTAATAGAAAAATGCATGTATCAGGGACAAAAGAACCGACATAAAGGTAAACCCGCATGCAATGTTATGCAGCGAAAAGAGAGACGCGAAAAACAGAGCAAGATGAGAAATGAAAAGGATAGGAAAAAAATTAATGAAACGGTGTAAAATTTTTATGTTACAATAGAATGATAATACAGTATTTATAATGTTGAGCGAATAGCGTATAAGGTGTGAATGATGGATTGCGCTTGAGCGGAGAATATGAAACCGCTAAGCGCTGATACAGCACCCAAAAACTATGGAGAATTTTAAGATAAATCATTGTGTCTTCTAGTAAGTTTAGGGATAGTTGGTCAGTTATAGAATTTTTGCAGTATCAGATCATAGAATTTTTCTACCTCATCTCTAACAATGGTTCTGTTGTAATCTACTTCCATTTGGTCCTTGTACATAGAAATGTATCTATTTATTTCTAATATTTCTTAGTAATTATAGTAACACATCTCAAAGTTGTTGTTTGTGGCCTGTTATCCATTATAATATACTATACATGTTTTTCCTTGCATTCCTCAATCCTCACATCAGTTATGTTTAGTACGGCTCTACTCTGCCAAAATGTCATAACTTCGGGGATATCAAATTTGAAAATTGGGCTAATGACAACCGTGTTAACAAAACTCAATAATGTGCCATGTCATCGTTACGGACAAAGATTGTGTATGAAGGGATTCGAATTTCATATTACATTCAAACCAAATCGCACAAATTTTATGCTTGATTATTTTAACCAAATATTGAATCCACCTACACTGCTAACACCTCTGACCAGTAGTAGTAAGGTGGAACGTAAGAAAATTCAGGACTAAGTCGATAGATAGAGTAAATTGGCAGGACAACAATTGAACTTTAACCAAATAATGAATAAAGGTTAGTAGACAACTCTAAGAGGAAAATGAGACCTAAAAATGGCTCTATAAAGATTAAAAATAGAGATCAGTAGGCCAAACTCTAAGAGAAAGATAGGACCTAAAAAGACGTGTTTCTATTTTCTAATCATGATAATGATTGAATTTATATGAGTGGGATGCAATCTGAATAAAGAGAAGTTCAGCTACTCACACCTTCATAGTTACCGCAACCCAACTTGGATCAGCAGATACTGTTTCAGGATGCACTGAACTCAAAGTATTAAAAACTAAAACCAAGATGGACATGTAAGTTGTTGTCGACCAGGAATTCCTCAAGTAAAACCAACTCCTGATTGTTTTCCCTATTCCATGCAAAGATAATTGCTCACAAACAGTAGGACAGAGATGCGACATAGTTGCCATGACATTCAGCACACATATTATGTCATGTTCCTGGCTTTCTTCCTCCAAGAGCTGTCCTAATAGGCACACGAAAAGTCTAGCTCCGAAGTTATCTTCAGTTGATACTAGCTCTGCTAGTGTCTGTACATTTATAGTTTGATTATTGTTTCCGATAATTATGTCAGTCTCTCCCAAGTTATAGTTTCTGCAAAATTTCAAAATCTGATGGCATAATGAGTTGATTATGCTATCTTGTTGAAACAACCACTTCAATGATATGGTGTGAATTCTTGCTGAAAGTAAGTCCCATTCATCATTGTTTATGAGTTGGAATATTATCTCCTCGGCTTCTGGACTGTAGTGAACTTGGTAGCTCATATTGACAAGACCCCTTAATAAACTGTAAAGATTCACCAGTCGTGTGATGGTCATATTATCGGTGGTCCAATTATGAAAATCGCCCCTATTGAGAAGAATATATTGTTCAAGAGAAGCTAAAATTAACTTCTCATCTGCAAGTCTGGTAATTAAAGTTAGAAAACTGTTAGGGAAAATAATTGTCGATGAATTGCCAATCAGGGGAATAGGAGAAAGAATTTTGGCAGTTCAAGTACCTTTCACCGTATAGCGAACTGGTGTACAAAATAAGCAAAACAGCAGATTGACAAGAAGGAAAATCCAAACTGTTAGTACTCCTTTGCCCAAGCAAAAAAAGTAAATCGATAGGATCGCGAGGCAGGTGTAAAGCAGCCTCTCTAATTGGTTGTCCAGAATCATTCCCTAGGAGAGAATCCATGAGTGAACTTAGCAACAGGTATATTCTACTTTTCATCCTATCTCCTGTAAACAGACCCAGGCATTCATATGAAAAACTAAACCAACCGATTGAAATCAAAGTCCCTGCATATTCCGTGGCATTAATACTAGAGGGCAGAAGCAGTATCGAATGAAAAGTTTCCAGCAATCCCAGGGCAATGTCCTCTTCCATTTCATTGATGCCCACTACAAGCCATGGCAGTAAATGGGTTCTGCATATATCTAGAATGCTGCTTTTAAGCTCCAGTTTACTAGAGTTACTGGGGTTTCCATCATGACTGTATGCATATGCCTCTTTGAGTAGGTACAAGCATTGCAAAATCTGGTTGATATTCCTTTCAGAGACAGAGAGACAAGCTAAAATGGCATGTCTGGTTGCTTCCTCGATTGATTTTGACAGATCTAAAGATCCATTACAAGATGGAGATCTTATAAGAGCCACAAAGACGGAGCAGACCAGTATATAGGTCTCGGGAATCATACCCATTTCTCCATCAGAATGCTTTCGAAGCATTCTTATCAGAACAAAAATCAGTTCCTCTAGTTGAGAAGTTGACACAGATCCAGGCCACTCAGAAATGCATTCATAAATGAGCTTCAGTGTCTCACGTTGGACAGGGTGAAAAGGAATTTCCGCCACATAATGTAATGCTGGAATCAGAGTTGAAATTCCAACAACGAGTCTTAGTTTAAAGGTTTCCTCAGCAGTTGATAAAAGATCTAGTCCCTGAAGGCACATCTTGACTTCTGGGTCCTTGTACTCTGTTCATTAATAGCATAATTAGTAAGCCACCTACCTAGGTTAACAGTAAGGTCAAAATTATAAGTTCTGCATTCGCAAGCATATAATGGAAAAAGCTGAGGTAAACTAAATTAGATTTAGAATAAAGCAAACTAGATCCAGATAACCAACCAACTTTAATTCCACTCAATCAGAAATGAACGTAAATTAGGGCATATGCTTTCGTTCTATAATGTGACAATGTCCAAGGCTATAAAATATGCACAGAAATATCACTATCGTTATCATCTAGGCGAGACAACACCCTTGTTTGGCAAGTTCGGTACAAAGTTCTCACCTGACAATCTTAATATTTCAAATAAATAATCTGCAATATTTTCTTCCACCAAGACTCGAATCTGATAGTTTGAAGTTCTGACAGAAGACAAATAGTGAAAGAGTAAATCTAGAGTGCCGATTTGAACTTGACTGTCTGACGAAAGTAATGGGCCTTTGATGGCTTCAGCAAACATATTTACCAGAGTTGTACCCTTGGTTCCATCTTCTGTTTCTTTAGCATTAACTCCTCCATTGGAAGAGAAGTTATAATTATCATATCCACATTCTTCCACGAGCAGATGTCTTCGAGCCAGCATAGTCAAAAGTGCTAATTAACAAAAAGTGGAAACTGTCAATCAAAAAGAAACAAGAACCGAAATTATGTTGTAAACTATAGCATATTACTGTTACTGATATCTATTCTGTAAACTATGGTTATACTGACTTTTGATCAGAGCAGTGGAAAACATTAACCACTTGTTCATTAAGCCAGCAACATTGGTGATTAGGATGATGTAGAATATGGATGCAAACTCTAGGAGAGAAAGATACTAGCTGTTAATCAACCTTTCCATTGAAATTCATTATAAAAATGGTCATCAGATGTGATGCATGAATGTTCAATGGTTTTTGTCTTCATATTGTCAACATACAACTGCACCTTTAAAAGTCTAATGTACTTTTATATCTATTGCTATGAGTCGTTCTGCAGTTGAGTACCCATGAGAAAAATAACAAAATCCTTTTGAGCTAACGTCTTAATGTCCATCGCTGGGCTACCCGTCCAAAATAGGCTTGACGAAACGCAAAAGTTAAAACAAACAAGACAACCAAAACAATTTTAAGCGAACAAAAATAAGTTTCAAGTTTTCTTTTCAAAGAATAAAAATTTTGAGAACTTGATAACGGACCAATACAATTCAAGCGAACATCGTCATTTTGAGTCTTCATGAGAACATCCACCAACAGGTACAAGATCTGTGGACAAAAGGGAATCAGCATATCACTTCCATCTCCCTCAGCTGAGGTACTCCGGAGAACAGACAGTTTATAAAGGACAAAGAGAACCTCCCCTCGAATCTCCTCACTGCACCGAGCGAGCAAAGAACTTACCACGTGAAATAAATTTTAAATTCAACAGTACAGAAGTCGATACTAAGAGCATCCAATACAGAATATATGTGAACAATACCTCGGTAATTGAAGGCCCGAAACAAGAACAGAAATGAGGCTACACATGTCTTTTATGTTTTCATGGAGATCATCTTCCTTCTCGCAATTCAGAAGAGCCCCAAGGCAGTGAAGCTGTTCATTCAGAATAATAGAAACAAGCCATAAAGTTTTCCATTTTTAGAATTTAATAGAATATAAAGACTTTTACATTATGTATAATAAGATCATCAACTTCTACAATAATAACTTAAAAGGTAATAATAGTTACCGTAATTCGTAACTTATGTTTGGATAAACTAGTCTATAAGTATAAACACTTGTAAGAAAAATGAATTAAATGTTTTCATAAAGTTAAAATCAACTTAAACACTTCAGTTTATGACAGTTAAATATATAAATTGATTTTAGCTTAAGAAGGAAGCTCAATTTATCTTCCATCTTTTCTTACTTTCTACCCTTATGCTTACAGAAAATTTTATTCAAACAGGCAACTGACAAGGTAAAAAAATCTTCATTGAGCTGGTGCTAGTGCTAGTGCTAGTGTATTAAAATTAAACTCTTCATTTTATAGTAACATTTTTATTTTAATGGACATTTAGACTCTGTACAGATCCTCGTCCCATTGTTCAAAGTTATGCGGAAATATTCAAGTTTCTCTTTATTGTTAGCAATGTGAATCTACAGAGAGAAGTTCGCAAGGACGTGAAAGTAAGAATGCCAAATGGAAATGGAAATCACCATGTGCAGCTGAGGGGAAGACCAACCGAAAGCACCGGAAGCGATGCGATCGGAAACCCTAGAGATGAATTCGCGGCAAACGGAAGGATCGGAGGACGCAGAGAGGGCGAGGATGAGATGCGTGAGCTGAGCGGCGATCTGTTCGTCGTGGAAGGAGGAGAGGGCGGCGACAAGAGGCGAAAGGAGAAAGTGAGGATGGAAGGTGAGAAGCGGTTGAAGGAAGTGAGGAAGGGAGAGGGATCGAGAGAGCTGGGAGAGAGCGTAGGAGACATGGACGGTTGGGGAGAGAGGATTGGAGAGGAGGTTGGAAAAGCAGACGAGGCAGATGGAAGCGCCGTCGTGAGTTTGGAGGTTGAACGAAGATCGATGGCCCTGAGAACACGAAACGGAAAAGTCCTCGTCGTCGGCGTCAACAACATCCACATCGCGTGAATTGCTGCACCAGTACATTCTCTTCTCTGTACTCACCACCACTCACGAGAATGCTGCTACTACTACTTTCGCTTTTTTGGCGCCGAACTGATTTTTAAATTAAACAGGTTTGGTAGTTAAGCTCTTAGTTGAGCTGCGTTTTACATACCGCATAATTGGGCCTGTGGAAGGCCCAACTTTTGCAAAATGTTATATGGGCTTGCTGTAATGTTCAGAGTTTTAATTTTATTACTTAATTTGTTTTTCTATTAACCTTTTATTAATTTCATCTGTACTTTTTTTTATATCTTTTAGTTTCAACCTTTTGAATTTAACTGTTTTATATTTTAATTAATATTTTTATTTTATTTTCAAGCAAATAGCAATAGAAAATGCAATTATTTTTATTTTACTACGTATTACGTGTGTATACATTAAATAGAGAAAATAAATTAAATGTACATCAATATAATAACTATTCGATACTACTTCAGCTTATTTAGAGTGTCTCTCCATGCTGACCCCTTGCTTCTCTTATTCCACCCTGCACCTTGCCCACATAACTAGCGGTCCCTCACTCCACTCTCACGGTCTCCACTCTCCAGCACTCACTTCCCCCCGGCAGCCACCTCCAACCACCCTCACCAACTGACCCAACTACACCCGCCGCACCACCTTATCACGATCACAACCACTCACCATCAGCCCTAGCCCTCCCGCTGCTGCATCTCCTCCATTGTGATTCACATCACCACTTCCAGCTCCCAACCAGCCACCACGGCTCTCAGCCGTAGCACCCTCATCTCCTTCACTCGAACCCTAGTGTGAGCCGCGTCTTCCCAATCTTCGTCGTAGCCACCACAAGTGAACCCTAGTCACCGTGTGGCCGTCTCATCTGCGTGGCGCACCTTCCCTGCCCCGTGCCTCCACAAGTACCCCTCAATCTCCACTGCGGGCCGCCTCCCCTCGCCGGAACTGCGAACCCTGTCCCAAGCTCCCTCTTCACCCATCACGCCAAAATCCCTCGCCCTGAGCCCATCCAAACCCAACTGCGGAGCCCTGGCCGTGACTCGCACCCCCTAGCCACCGCAAGTCAACCTGGAGGTTGGTGGTTAGAAGCAAGGGCCGCGGGCCTAAGTGAGGTTTCTCCCTTTCTCTTTTGATTTCTTATTTACAGTTTGTAATTTGAGTTTGGTTGTTCTAATTGTTCTATTTGAGTTTGGTGATTCTGATTGTTTTCGAAGCGTATATTGTCTGAAATGTTTCATTAGTTTGTCGATCTATGATCGGTTTTTGGATTTAAACTGGATTTTTATTGAATCTGTGGGTTGTCTGAGTTCGGGGCTAAACTGAGTTGTAAATATCTGGTACAGGTTGTTGATTCGGCAGTTCCGGATTCGGTCTCATTTCTGGTTTGGCATTGGAGAGCGAGTCTGATTGGGGATATTGGATTGTGGATAACTGAGTTTTAGGTCTTAATAAGAGAGTGTTTGGTTCTCTTTTCTTTGTGGCTGTGGTTATGGTTCGGGCCTACTCACTAAGTTTAGATTGTTGTGTTTGAGTGTTTCATGTCTTTCTCTGCTTTTGACTGGATTGTGTTAATTGGATTTTGGAGTGTTTGTGAACTGTGTTTGGTCTAACCATTGTGGTTATATCCATTAAACAATATTTTTTAATTCGATTTATCATTGGAGGAATAGTTTAAAGGATAACATGTTTTTTCATGCCATAACAATGTTTAATACAATTAAAACATTTTATTTAATTTTTATATAATATAATTATTTCATTAAAGTTTTATTTGTCACAGTTAAAATAACAATTTATTTTATATATGATTTTAATTATTAAAAAAATTTAAATATTCATGAAAGATTATTTGTCCACGTACCATCATAATTATTAAGTTCACCAAATTTTACTATGATAAGTTCTTGAGTAATATATTGTTCACCAAATTTTACTATGATAAGTTGTTGAGTAATACATTGTTATATTATTTTTACCTGTTATGACATTATATCTATACTACATATTATTTAATAATTTATATAATATAAAATTAATAATTATCTATAATTAAAATTTAATAGAGTAATTAATAATATATAAAAATTAAATACAAATATTTTAATTATAATAAACATATTTTATCCAATTTAATATATTTTTTAGAAATTTTCTTTTAGATAGGATGGAAAAACGGGTCCTTTTTATTTTGGCTCACCCTTGCACGGCGAGGTGTACTGGGTGTAAACCTTAACCTGCTTTGTCATAATTAAAAAAAATATTTTTTTAAAATCAAAATTTTTAATAAATTTAATAATAAAATTATAATTTATTTATCAATAATTGAATATATATATATATATATATATATATTAATTTAATAATATAAATCAATATATTGTTTTGAAAAATTATAATTTAAAATAATAATAAAATTTACATGATAATAAATAATAATAAATATATATATATAAATAAATAATGTTAAAAATTGTAAATTTATATTTTTATATTAAAAAATTTAAATATGTATATTTTTTTATTTAATAAAACTTCACATTATTCTTATTTAAATAATTCTTATACTTTTAATTCAAATAATAAGAATAAAAATAAATGATAAATAACAAAAAAAAAAACAGATGATGAATAAGAAAAAAAAGAAATAAATACTTATGATTCAGTAAAAAGAAAGTTTTTTACGTAATTTTATTTTTATTTTTTTTATCATTTTTAATTTTATATATTATTTTTATAAATAATTTTATTATAATAAAAAATTATTTTTTTATTAATCAACTCATCTACACATTTGATTTCGATCCTAGGGATTGTTTTGACGGAATGACGAGTTTGACAAGAGGATAAGAGGGGCTGAAACATCAATCCGCCTTATTATACCGGGTTGGCCCGCTACTTTTGGAACAACCTTTAAAACATCACAAATGGTCTGTTAAACCTTTCGACAAGTCTATTAAACCGTTTGTGTTTTCTGCATGCCACCCTAAACAAAATTCTTCCCTAAAATAATTAAATGGTTAGACATTTTCCAAAGCAAGGTGTATGTATCCTTCACAATGGTGATTCCTTTGATTGGGTGTGCGATGGAATTTAGGAGTAAAAGTTGAGTGATGAAAGTGGAAGTTTGAAGAATTAGGAGGTTTCTTTCTTTCCTGCTTGCAACTTTCCAATACAATTTCCTGCTTGTAAATAATCTTCTCCTATTACTTCATTTTCCTCCATGTTTGTGTGAGTAAAACTTAAATTTGGGTAATGTGCATTGCAGTTCACACCACCCGATTGGTTCTGCCTAGTCCATTTGGTTGAAGTTGACGGCTCGCCTCGCGCATACTACATTCTTTCCCTGTTCCTATTTCGCTTAGTAATTGTTCGACGTATTGCCCCAACCATATAATTCCTTACTTTACCGTCGCTCGATGGTTTCATTTAGAAGCTCTTTTATTTATAGAAGAACAGAGAACCCTTTCAAAATCTTCAGATTTCATAGCACTTTCTGTTTTTCCTTAGAAGCTACATGCTGGCAAATACACGATGCCTTGAGATACTATCATTATGGGTCAGAATGGGGTAAAAATCAGAAATCGAATCCAAACGAGAAGCCAAACAGGGTGGGGCTTTTCTGGGACTTGGACAATAAACCACCCAACACAATCCCACCTTATGAAGTTGCCAATAAGCTTAGAATAGCTGCATCTTCCTTTGGGATTGTTCGTTATATGGTGGCTTATGCAAATAGCCACACTTTTAGTCATGTTCCTCAATGTATATGGGAGAAAAGGAAAGAGAGGGAACTGTTGTATCGTTTGGAGAACAAGGGTGTCATCAAGCCAAATGAACCTTATCGTTGTCGGGTTTGTGGGAGAAAGTTTTATACTAATGACAAGCTTGTCAACCATTTCAAGCAACTGCATGAGCGTGAGCACGGGAAAAGGATGAACCAGATTGAGTCTGCGAGAGGGAACAGGAGGGTGAAGTTGGTAGCTAAGTATTCTATGAAAATGGAAAAGTATAAAAAGGCTGCAAGTGCTCTTCTCACACCCAAAGTGGGGTATGGTTTGGCGGATGAGCTCAAACGTGCTGGGTTTTGGGTTCGAACTGTGTTGGACAAGTCACAAGCTGCAGATCGAGCATTGCAAAGCCACATGGTGGATGTCATGGACCATAGGCGGGTTGAGTGTGTGGTTCTTGTGTCTGATGATTCTGATTTTGTTGATGTGATAAAGGAAGCAAAGCTGCGATGTCTGAAGACGGTTGTCATTGGGGATATTGATGATGGTGCCTTGAAGAGGACTGCTGATACTGCCTTTTCTTGGGAGGAAATTCTGATGGGGAAGGCTAAAAAACAGGCTATTTCGGTTGTGAAAAACTGGAAGGATCGTGATATTTTAAAGAGGCTAGAGTGGACATATAACCCAGATTGATACCATTGGTGAAGCATCTGAAGATGATGATATTGAAGATACATGTGATGAAGTTGATGATGTCTATAAGCATGACGGAGGTTCTTGGTGGGAATTAGATTCTGGCGATGATGTAATAAATGGACAGTCAGGCAAATTATCCGATTTATCAGTGAATAAGTGAACACTCGACCTTCTACTTTACAAACATTTTTGTTTGGTCATCAAATATGTTAGGTAACACTGGTTGTAAGTTATGGATGGTCCTGGGTAACACCATGGTAAAATAATATTATTTTCAAATCATCTGACAATTTAATAAAGATAAAAAAAAAACTGTAAAAATAAAAACATTTATTAGCATTGGAATTTTTTTTTTTTAAATTAGCATGTTTACATTGAACTGGAGTAATTCGCCATTTTTAAAACGTAAAAGTCTTGTAAAAAAAAAAAAACATTATTAAAATTTTACGCCGAGAAAATAATGGTTACCAAACTTCATAATACCTTACTCCAGTATTACGAAAAAAAAAATCCAAAACAAAGATAATGACAAAAAAATTAGATTTTTTTTATTTCTATAAATGTACAAACTTTAACTTTTAATTTATATGCTTAAAAACATTAGCATTAATTTCGATATATTATTTTAATAATTTTTATTTATGGTATTGTTAATGTGAGATCGATAAAGGGATCGAAAGACGAAGGAAAGAAAAAATTGAAGACCATACAATTGGTAGAAGACATCGAGAACGTATTTTCGATGAAATCGGTAAAAGCTGGTAACCACAAAGATAAAAGTACATCGAGAATCAAAATCGAGAATCGAAGAAACAAATTTCGATGCCTATTGTCGATTTTGGAATAGTACAAAATTAAAGGGAATCAAAAGCAAAATTTAAATGCTCGATGTCCGAAATCGAGATCGAGGGAGCGGTTAACACAGACACAGGGAACGTGGGAAACAGTTTCTAAACCGCGATAGAAACAAATTAGCAGTTCTCTTATACGTGAGAACGTGGAGTGCAGTTTTTAAAAACGGTAAGACTATAGGAACGGGCACGTAAGATCGTGGTGAGAGTGGTATTAACCACTCGTGGGAGGCTACTTGAAGGATGCTCTATAAACAGAGCGAACACTGGAAAAGAAAGGAGGAGGAAATTGGCAGAAAGAACAGAAATATTAGTGAGAAGTCTACCGGAGAACGACACAATCATGAAGTTTCTGGCGATCTGGATTTCCATTTTCATTGATTGCCTTTATCGCTTTCTTTACTTTCCCTGGTAATTTATATTCATGTATATTTAAGTTTCTGTACTTTCGATTACATGTCATTTACTTAATGCAATTTAAGTTTCTGTATTTTCGATTTCATGTCATTTACCTTAATGCAATTTAAGTTTCTGTACTTTCGATTTCATGTCATTTACCTTAATGCAATTTAAGTTTCTGTACTTTCGATTTCATGTCATTTACCTTAATGCAATTTAAGTTTATGTACTTTCGATTTCATGTCATTTACCGTTTTTGCAATTTTGATTTTCCTGTTGTCTATTTTTCTGCAAAGTTCGATTTTTTGCTTATTTACAATCCTGCAATTTTCAATTCCGTGCCATTTACACTTAATGCAATTTTGAGGTTTCCGCACTTTACGTTTTCTGCAATTTAATATTTCTTCGCAGTTTTATATTCTGTATTGCTTGTCGATGTGACATTTTACTGCTTTCTTTATTTCGAGTGCTTTAAATACAAAATACCAAAAAATAGCGCTTTCGATTGTCATTAGGTTACATTAAGATTTGTGGTACTTTTCGATTCTCATACATATTTCGATTGAAAACTATTTGCTAGCTTAAGTAAAAAAGAATCCACGTGGTTGGGATTTGGTTAGAACAAAATTCCCTCGAAATCGAAATCGATCAAAATTCCACCAGAAACAAATTGGCGCGCCAGGTAGGGGAGAATTGTGTCGAAAAAAAAACAAAATTGGTTAGTTCGAAAGTGTATGAGATTAAGGAGTGGGCGAGTAATAGGAATGAGTCAGAATCCACCAAATAACCAGAGTAACAGTGAAGGTGTGAACGGTCTGAATGGGTCACATCCACCAAACACTGGGGGGCAAGGGCATAATGGGAATATGCTTGTAGTATCGACAGCCGCGGGTATGTCGATTACTGTGAGTAATGAACAAAGTTCAGGTACATTAGTAAATACTCAAGTAGGGTCTAGTACCGTGATACCGAACAATATGCAAACTATGGGAAACCCCATAACAACATATGCTGGGCCGTATATGAGCGTGAGGCCGCCTGGTTTTTCGCCTAATAATATAAATGGGGTTGGTACGTCTTCAATACAACGAAATTCGAGATTTAACCTAGGAATGCCTCAAAACTTAGGTACATTTCAAACTCTAGATATGCCACAAAATTTCGGAGTATCTCCAAATTTAGGGGCGTCTCAAAATTCAGTAACCCCCCAGAATTCAGGGAGTGTGCAAAATTTAGGTACACAACAGACACCTCCAAACATAGATCACAGAGCAAATCTGGATCAGGGGAGATATACATTCGATAGAGATTATCATCGATCCAATTTCGAGACTATCGAAAATGCTAGTACTGGAATCTCCAGTAATTCATTAGGAGTACTTAGACAACAAATGGATGAAAGCAATTTTGAGATGATTAATATGTTATCACAACAGTTGACTACAGTCCTAAATCCATTAGTTCAAAACACTACTACTAGTTTTGAGATATTAGCATACCAAATGGCCCGTATCGGGGATGCATTGGCCATACCTCGACAAACGAGAATGGAAAATCATGCCATTCAGAGCATTAACCAGAACACTAATATTAATCCTCCTTATCTATTAAGGAGAAATCGACACGATGATCAACATCAGAATCTGGGGAACGAATATCAGCATGTGAGGAATGACGTTTATGGAAATCTGAATGAGGGATTTCAGAACATGTATAATCAAAATAACATACAGTACAACCACATGCCAGGGCAAAGGATGAACCCTCATGGGGTAGAATTAAGGCCACCCAATCAACCATACTTCGTTTCCCCTTTTCCAAATACGATTCTCGAGATAGAATTACCTCGAGGATACAAAGTACCTAAATTCACCAAATTTGCTGGAGAAATTGGTGAGTCCACTATCGAACATGTAGCTCGATATCAGATCGAATGTGGGGACCTAGCTATGAGTGAAGAATTAAAAATGAAATATTTCCCTAGTTCATTAACTAAGAATGCTTTCACCTGGTTTACTTCGTTGCCACCCAATTCGATATATAATTGGTTGCAATTGGAAAAAAATTTTCATGAGCAATTCTTTAGAGGGGAGACTCAAGTAAGTCTCATCGACTTAATGAATATAAAGAGATACAATCATGAAAGTATAGATGATTATTTGAATAGATTTAGACAAATGAAGTCAAGGTGCTTTACTCAAATTCCTGAATATGAATTAGTCAGAATGGCCTCCGCAGGCTTAGAATTCTCGATTAGGAAAAAGTTGGTTAATTTACCATTGAATGACATGGCTCAGCTAGCTGATAAAGTGAGAAGAGTGGAACAAATTGAATATGAAAAACAAAGGTATAAGAAATTTGAGAAACCCATGAAGAAAGAAAGAGTAGCATATATAAATGATGTGTACGAGACAGGTCCCAAGACAGAAACTGATATTGAAGAAACTGTCGATGAGAAAGTAAATATAGCAGAGCTCAAAGTAGGAGCTCCATATATTTGTAAATTGCTACAAAAAAATGAAGTAAAAGACAAAATGGCAAATCGAACGTATACTTTCGATGTAACAAAAGCCGATAAAATTTTCGATATTTTATTGAAAGACAAGCAGATTAAGTTGAGTAATGATCATAAATTACCATCTGCAGAACAAAGGAATGGTCAAAAATACTGCAAATTTCATAATATTTATGGACATTGGACTAATAATTGTATACATTTCAGGAACACGATCCAAGATGCGATCGACCAAGGAAGGCTGAAGTTCGAGGAGATGTCAATGAAAGTGGACACAAGTCCATTCGAGGTGCAAGTAGGGTATATTGAATCCCAGATGGGCATGACTGAAGATGTCCGATTGACAAATTCGACCTTTGTAGGCATGGTTGATGTTACTGAAGACATCGATCCCAAGAATGCAGAATGGACGTTTCTGAAGAAGACATGGAATTCGACCTGAGTGAGTTCGAGAAAGAATTCGAGAGAGAAATCTATCCTCGATCAGGAGACTCCCTCGTCGACTTTTTAAACAGAAAGAAAGAAAAGGATGAAGATGTGGCGTTATGTCCACGATGCAGTGCAGTATTCGACAGGTCAGCTGCTAAAGCTTTCAGAGCAGGACAGTTGAAGAAAATCGAGAATCAAAATAAAACGGACAATGACAAAATAGATCGATCAGCCCAAGCAACGATAGGGGAAAGTCAACAAAAATCTGTCGGTTCTGATACTAGTATGAATCAGTGGATTAGGAAAGAACTGTATCCTTCTTGAAGAGGAAGAGGCAGACTTCAAAGTCATGATGTCTTCGAGAGACTTTCATATGACGAAGGATTGAATACTGGATTCCCAACATTCCAAAGGAGATTTCGAGGAAGGCCCTGGAGAAGAGGAGGAAGAATCCCCTACTAGAATAATTACAGGAACTTTGAAGAGAGTAATGTATAAATGGGGAGCCAATATGCAAGAGACTTTTTCGATGATAAAAATGAGGGTAGCTGGGATGAACATCAAATCGGAGTAATATCGATACTACCCGCGGAATATGTTAGTGAGTATAAAGAATACCAAGAGCAAAGTAATGTCGAGCGAGAGGAAGACTTCTATTCCAAAGACATAAGGCCAAAGGTGACATGGGTAACACAAGCATCATGCGAAGTCCCCCATAGAGATGCTGCTTTCATTGATCCCCCATCTGAAGAGATGAGGTTCCACCTGAAGCCTTTGTTACTGAATATCGAGATACAAGGGCA